TGTTTGTCAGCTCAGAAGAGCCCAAAGGGATATAGGATGATTTCCTTTGCCCCCTGACAATTGAGAAGCTGACATAATCTCTGGCAGGCATTTGGTCTCATTTACTTTGAAAATCCTTAAAACCATAGGGGAGGCTTGGTTCACAAACCGAAGATAACTGAAGATGCAGAGTCAAAAAATGGAAGCACTTGGGTCCTTGCAGACTTGGAGACATTGACATTACCAACTTGTGTTGTTTTTAAGATATAATCCTTGGGCTTTCCTGGTGGCCTAGGGGTTATGTCTCAGCATTATCACCACTACAATTTGAGTTCAGTGTCTGGCTAGGGAGCTGACCCACATAAGGAACAACACATTTCTCCCATCTCGCCTGCTGTTCCTCTTAGCAGTGTATTTCAGTCAGTCTTCCTGTCCTGCCCACTCTGTCTCTGGAGAATCCCCTTGAACTCTTTATCTCTGGACTGCACACCAGTTCTTCTATGCAAAAATAAATAAAATTCTATCTATCTATCTATCTATCTATCTATCTATCTATCTATCTGTCTGTCTGTCTGTCTGTCTGTCTGTCTGTCTGTCTGTCTATCTATCTGTCTATCTATCTATATCTTTAAAAGAAAGATATAGTCCTGAATTGCTTAATATAATTTTAGTTGAGTTTTTTGGTTTTTAATAAAAATGGCATATATCATCATTCAATAGTGAAGTTTTTTGATATAGTTACAGTAATCAAAATATTTTTAAAATGACCATTGGATTAGTTCCGAGAGAGAAGACAGATGGTTTCCTGGGACAGCCATCAATGTGGGAGAGCTTTGCCCTTTGGCATTTTAGGGACACTGAAGAACTCAGAGGGTTAAGAATCTAGACAACCTGGCAACCCATGAGATCTGATACATTTTCTATCAGGCTCCTTCACGGTGTTTGACTTCATGTAGATCACACTTCTTGTTCTGTCACTGCAAACTCAGTGGTCTCATTTTCCAGACACCCTCAGGACATGCTATAATTTCTATGATTTTAAATCACATGACATCACTCATATTGGAGTCTGGTGGCACTCCTGTGGGGGCTCATTAATTACAACTGGAGACACTGGGAACTGGCAGACAGACGAACACGAGCCAAAGTCACTGTGACAGGAGCTTTTGGGGGCAGAGAAAGTGTGAGAGGGAGGTTGGCGTTCCTTCTTTTTCACAAGGGACAGAGACATGGGGAAGACACTTGGGAGTGGGCGATTTCATTAGTCTTTTAACCTCTCCCGCCCTGCCCTCCTGCCTTCTATTTAACCTAGCAGTGAGCCCCTACTAGCCAAAGTTAGGCTTTGTGACTCTCAGGGACTTCCCATCTCATGCAGTGCAAAGGGAATGATCGTCTACACTGGACGCAGGCCCGGCCGGACCAGGCCTATTACGCCTCTGGCCTCAAGGCTTCCTTCACTCACTGCTGAGTTCTTGAGTTCTGCTCAGTCACTTCGCTTGGTCCCCACTGATGTGGAGGTGGGGGTGTAGGGGAAAACTGTGGGGGAAATTCAGACCCCAAGGCCTTTCTGCTTGCTGTTCCCTTTGCTGGAGATGGAGATTCTCCTAGATATTTACTTGGGATATTTATCCCCCATTTAAACTTCACCCAACCTTTAGTCCAGTAAGGACTAAATTGTCACCTTTGTCTCCCTTTATTTTCTTATTTTTCCCCATGGTATTTATCACATTAAAAATGAATTTATTGTCCCTCCCTGGTGGCGCAGCGGGTTAAAGCACAGCACTGAGAATCTAAAGCCACTTCCGCATGAGTTCGATTCCCGCCTGCCCTGGAGGAGTCCACATGGTGCGGCAGACCTCTCCTGACCCACCCGCTGCTCCCCTCTGCAGTGTATTTCGTAGATCTGCCTGTTCTGTCTCTGGTGAAGCCTCTCGCTGCCCCTGAGCCTCTGGCCTGTACCCCAGTTCTGTATGCACAAATAAATAAATCTTAAAAAAATGAATTTATTGATTTTTGGATTATATATATATATATATACATTAAAAATGTAAGCTATATGTTTAGTAGGGTGCATCATCTGTGCATAGTAGGGTGTTTAACTGCACCCCTGACCCCTGCTCCCCACCAACAACCTCTCTCCCCTAACTGTGACAACAAAATATGTCTCCACAGTCATTGTTCCCCATCCAGGGGACAGTAAAATTATTTGGACAAGAACCACTGATATAAATAATTTCCACCTACTCCTTTTTGAGCAAAGAGTGATAAACTTTTTGCTATAACACTTGTGGTAGAGTGAAAATCACGAACAACTCATATTTATCAACCCTCTAGGTAAGACAATAAAAATAGCATGCTCATCTAACTGGTACTGGTCTGTAATATCAGTAGATGTGAGATATAATTTAGGGAGAAACAGAAAATGGACAACTTCTTGTTCAATGACCCGTATGTAACCTCTACAAAGGGACAGCGAATGGTGAGATAGCACTTTTCATAGTCTGAGGTAAAGACTAGTAAAGAGGATACTTGACATTTCCCCAGAATGCATACAGGTGATATCAGATTAGTACAAACATTACTTGTTCCCTGGGAAGATGGAATCCCTAAGGGAGACAGGGAGCTTGAAGTCTGGGCGCAGAAGCAGAGATCCTCATTCACTCACCCCACCTGAGGCTGGAGTGCGACAGGTGTGTGCTGAGTTTGGTTATGAGGTTAGACTGGGGTAGCTGATGGCTCTTCTCCTTTGGAAAAAAACAAAACAAAACAAAACAAAACAGTGATGCTTGATGAAAAGCTTCGCTTGTGTAGAGACAACTCTGTCCTCAACTGGTCCCTCTCTGGGATATTTCCAGGGAGCTCTCAATAGAGAGTCCCTAAGAACTACTTACCACCCAAAAATGCTTCAAAGTTCTAGTTCTAGATAAATGTAAAGTTTAGAGTTACACAAACAGGTGAACACAGGAGTACCTTGGGGATGGGCACCATCAAATAAATGAGCAGAGAGGAGTGGGAAAGGAGTGATGATTTGGGCAGCCGATCTAGAAATTGCGTTTAGACAAAGTGTGGGTAAATTTGTATTGTGCTGTCTAGTCACTGTAGTAAAGATTTTATCTCATCTACACAAATATGCACCGTCGTGTTATGCAACCAACTCCAGGAAGCTTCACCTTCGCCTCTCTCCACCCTTGAACAAAATGGAAACCCCAGAAAGTCAGGAAGCCCAGTGCTGCATTTACTACCACCAGAGTGTGAGTTGCCTTGGATTCATCCCTTAAATTCCTGGGCGTCAAAGGAAAGTTACTAACTAGGTCACGAGAAGCACCCAGAAAGCCCAAAATGGAAATCGCCCCAAAGGAAAGCGGCATTTAATTGGCAACTTGCAGACATCTGTCATTCTTTGTGAGAAGTGCAAAAAAGAGCGTGCACATTTATGACTGCAGGTGGGAAGAGACTGGCAGCTGAAGGCACGCTGGCACCGGGTGGAGGGAGAACACCGGGAGTTGGGGGCAGGGGAAGCGGGTTTGGATGGGGTTTCACCCCTGATTCTCACTTCAAACAAAAAATGTCGGGGTGGGGGGAAACACTGGCCCCGTTAAATGCCACCCATTGTGCGCCCACACTGTGCTAGCTTGACCGACGCACCTGGGTACGCCGCATCCCAAGAACAGGTCGTGCGTAAAGTTTGGAAAAGCCAGGTGGGGTCGGATCTCGGGGCTACCAACCAAACAAGCCTCCATCTCAGGGCCTCTGGGTTCAACCCGTGCGCTGGCTCGGGCGCGAGCGACGCCCCCGGCGCTCCCAGCTCTTAACCAGCTTCCCAATCAGCTCGCGAGGGGACTGCGCGCTCCCTCCCGCGCCCCGCCGCGTCCGCTCCTGCCCGCGCCTCCCATCCCTCCCTTTCTTCATTTCCTTTCCGTTCCCTCCCTGCCTGGGCGTAGCTGAGGCGAAGGCTGGATCAGGTTCCCCCGCCTTCCAGCCCGAAAACCCCGCCGAGGGAGCCGCCGAGCGGAGGCAGAGCCCGAGGGGAGCGAGGGGAAGAAAGACCCGCGAGCCGCCGTCCGGGAGGGGTGCAGCAGCCGCGGCGCGGGCAGCAGCGATCGGCACCTGGCCCGCACGGGAGACCTCGCCCCTGCAACAAAGGCAGCCCGGGCGCGCGCCGCACGCTTGCAACTCTAAGTAAGTGGAAGGCCACGCGCGGCTCCGGGGAGCGCGCCCCGGGCGAGGTCGCCTGCCCCCCGGCCACTTTTCTGGGTGTCAGCAGAGGAGGGTGGGAGGAGAGAGAGCGCTCGCCGCTGCCCCTGAGTCTTTGCAGCTGATTTGCGCCCGAGGCAAAGGGAGGCAGACTGGGGAGCGGGGAGTGAGGTCGGGGTGCGGGGGGGCCCTTAGGTGAGTGGGGAGCGGGGCGCGGGGCGCCTCTGTAACGTTAGGCGAACCCGTGCCAGCGTTCCTGCCAGCCTCGCGACGCGACGCGCAGGGCTTGGCTCTTTGTGAAACCTGCTTGGTAGGTGTGTCTATCGGGGAGACAGACCGAGCCAGCCGGCCGCTCTCCTCTTCCCAGTCTTTCTCGGCTTTTCGGGTGCCCCGGGCTGGCTAGCTGAAGGCTCCGAGCCGGCTCTTCTCGGAGAGTGTGCGCCGGTTTCCTCCCGGCCCACCGCCGCTGACCACCACCCCCAGGGCACCCGCTCCCCTGTCTTTTACCCGCAGCCCGAAAAGGTTCCAGAAATGATGGAGTTTAAAGTTTGAAAGACACACCTGGAAGCCCCTCTTTTCATTTCGTGGCTCATTCTGGTAACTGCCCTGCACACAGCGCCTCAACTTTTTATGTCGCCCACATACATTGGGCATATTTATAACTAATGTGCCAGATGCTTCGTTTCTCAGTTGATGTTTCTGATGAGTTAACAAAATATTTTTAAAGGCAGGAGTGGAGCCAAACCTTCCTACTTAACACCCGCAGCATGAAACTTCTCGCCTTCACACACACACACACACACACACACACACACACACACACACAC